TGCCTACCAACATGCCACCACTCTGATTATTGTAGGTGGAGGAGGGTGAGGAAGAGAGACAACTGTTTAAAAACAAACAAAAAAAAAAAAAGAGTAATAGGAGTAGTTTTGTCTAGGGCCCATACAGGTCTTGATCTCAGTTTATTCCCGCTCCCCCATCACTCATCTTATCTTGCACTCAGACTCACAAAATATCCATTAGAAAGTTAATTCCTGAATTAGGCTGGTTTCAAACTGGTGACTATCCAGTCTCCCTGTAAGTGCCAACGTTGACACCTTCAAGAATGAAGCTTGCTTTCTCGAAAGGTAAGTTTAAGAACTCAACTTTGAGCTATTTGAAGCTTAGCCAGGCAACATCATCTACTCTGGATATAGAGGCACCAAACCCCCACCCCAAAATCCCATACTGTTATTAGGCTCCCACAAACACTCAGTAATCAAATGCCCTACCCTGTTCTTGAAGGGACAGCTCCCACTGACCAAAATTGTTAGTCTGTATAATCATTTTTTGTCTTAAGCCTTCTCCCAACTATGTTTCACTTATCTTGAGATGTAAGCTCCACAAGGCAGAAACAGTCTTGTGCATCTGTACAGCACCTAGCACAACCTGGGCTCCAAATGCAATTGGAAATTTTGAACATCACTGTAACGACTTTCCACATTAGAATTCCTTCCTGTGGAACGTCTAATGAATTCCATATGCATTGTCCATAGGGGACTATATCCAAGCCTTTTCCAAATGTTGCTGAGAATATTCTTCAGTCTACTTAATAATTCCAGCTGCTAATCAAAAACCAGTTTGGACATTAAAAGAATTCTTACTTTCTGCTAAGCATGTATGCATGCACATTGGGGGTGGGGGTGCGGGGGGGGGGGGGAGAAGGGTGGAAATAGAGTTGCAGGAATTCTATACCATACAATATAAAGCCTAATCCCTAGGAAAGAGATGCATTTAATAGCATAGTAGGAATTCATTAAGGAATTTTAAAAATACAAAAGGTTTTTATGAAGGTTTTGCTCCAAGAATGCTACTTGAAACTAATCTTGCTCAAAGGGCAAAAAACAAACAGCTGCCTACTTTTTCCTGTCTTCAACACCCATGCTACGCACCAACAAAGAGAAACCACTAAAAGAACTCTCCACTTCATGAGACTCATTCACCAGGTGTTATTGTGGTTTTCATATTATCCTGTGTGTGCGAGCATCACTTTTGCTGCAGCTACCTAAATGTATTTCTTTGCTCTTTCGCCTACCCAGCTATCTGATAAGGAGTATACTGTTATAGTGGCTTCTATTCTACAGTGCTGGAGGTGTAGAAGAGCTTGTAGCTTGTTTTTCTGCAAGTAGTAAATGAATGATCAGTTACTGGGGCGGGGGGGGGGGGGGAGAGGAGAGAATGCAGGAGGAGAAAGTAGCCTAACCCTAGTAAAAATTGAACGCAAATTTGACTTTCATCTCTCTACATCAGTGGTTCAAAAACTGGGGTGCCATTTGTTCAAGAAAAGCCCCCTGAGGGGCCGAGCCAGTTTGTTTACCTGCCGCATCCGCAGGTTCGGCCGACTGCGGCTCCCACTGGCTGCGGTTCGCCACTCCAGGCCAATGGGGGCTGTGGGAAGGGCGGCCAGCACGTGCTGCTTCCCGCAGCCCCCATTGGCCTGGAGCGCCGAATTGCAGCCAGTGGGAGCTGCGATCGGCCAAAACTGCGGACACAGCAGGTAAACAAACCGGTCCAGCCCCCCAGGTGGCTTTCCCTGAACAAGCAGCGCCCCTAGTTTGAGAACCACTGCTCTACATCAAGAACAGTGTCAATATCAGCTCATCAGAAACTAAACTCTATAGTAAAGTGCGAGATGTGTACTAAACATCGAAAAAGGAAAATTAAAGTCCAAAGAATCAAGTATGCATGAAGAAAATTTTAGCATTTTAAACATCAGTCTTTTGAGTCATTTTTCCATTGTTCTGAAATTTTCAGTAATCTTGACTAGTTTTTTCACCCAGCATCTTTTCTAAGCACGATTACTGACAGTATTGTTCTTCCTCTCCCAAATCAAATTAATCTTGACAATAACTGCTTGAAAACTTAGCTACAAACATCACTAGTACTCCCCTGGCCCTTGCATACAAGTCTGCACATATTGCATATAAAGATCCAGAGAAAAAAGCGCAAGTTGAATGCCTGGACACAATTTGCCCACCCCAAACTGCAAGCCTCAGACAGGAGCAGCTCCATTGGCATGACTGGTGTCCCCCCCAGGCAAAAAATAGAAGTTATTCAACCATGGGTTTAGTTTGACCCAACCCTGCTGGCAAATAGTTGCACAGCTTTATGCATGTACCTAATTCCATTAAGATCAGTGGAATTATTCACATGCATAGAGTTAAGCACATGTAGCGTTGGCAGGATCAGGGCCTGAGCTTGTATCCCTGTCCTCTGAAGGAAGAGCTGGTTTTACACTATTATGTCTAATATAATGAAATAAAATTGTGTTAATTAGAAAGGGCCACTGCAGCTAATATCTATTCAGTTTAATGAGCATTTTACTGGATTATCTGAATGTAAACAAGTCAGACTGTTCAGATAGTGTGGGGAGAAAATCAGAATCCTGAGGTTGTTTCAAATTCTGTCTAACATTCCCAGGCAACAGATGCGGTAAACAAGCAGTTGCTTTGTTATGCAAATGAAGAATCTCAGGTATACCACAAGGTTACTCCACACGCAAATGGTCAGGCTGACACCACTGATGAGAGCTTGGGTCTCTTAAACCGACTTATCTAAACTGTTTTTCAACCTTGCTATCTGCAAGGAAACAGAGGGAAGTTGAATGGGTGACAGTTAGAAGCCCAACAAAGGTAGAGAGCAGAAGTGACGAGGTGGGAAGGCATAACTGCTTACCACATAGGTTGTGGTTAATAGCAAAGTAAGCAAGTATAATCTTCTGGATGCAGTGTTTTGATCTCTCTCTCTCTCTCACACACACACTCTAAAAGACAGCTGTCAAGTATAAAAACAAAGATGATAGTTCAATTAAACAAACAAATAAAAAAAGATTAACTCAAGCATGTAGCCTTGTGGTTAAGTCTGGAGATTTCAGTTTATGGTCAACATTAGTATATTACAAGAACACTATTTTACAGGAATTGTGGTGCTGCTCCAATACGCTCCCTTAGACATTAGGCTGAGAGTATTGCAATTAAATCCATCTGCTTTCTATCCCCGCCAATATCACAATAGCTACTCAAATATTTCTACAATAAAAGGAAGCTGATCAATTTAGTCTGAAATATCGTTCTTCCACTATCTGAAGAGATGTACCAGTAGTGTGCAAGTAAATAACTGATGTCCCACTGTGACGCATTTAAGAACAAAACATTTTGAAATTGTAAATTCTCTAGTCATTTTTATAGGGCAACATTAAGAAGTTGGATTTATTTTGCTTCCAAATCTTGCACTCATGTATTGTTTCTTGGAGAAAGAGAAAGTAGCACAGGGTCTTATTAAATTCCTGATCTTCAAGGAGACATGGATCTGAGCATTAAAGACTTCCAACTGACTGCATCCTTTTTGTCAGCAAGATAGAACTGCAGTTTAATCTATCAAGAATTTTTATTTTACATATCTTTCAGCAGAAGCCAGTATACAAAGACTACATGGGATATAGTTTGAATGCTTCAAAATTAAGTATATATAGACCTTCAAGCGGAAATTAAAAACAAAACAAAAAAACACCCCCAAAAAACCAACAGGTTTTTCCATCTTCTTATTCAAGACAGATTTTTTTTAAAGACAAAACTATAAAGCAGTATTGTATACACCTTTTTTTATTCTTTCAAATGTAAATAAGGTTGCAGAATATAAGCAACATTTGCAGCAGGGTTCAGAATGCCAGAATCGATTGTGTCATTCTGAATTCAAGCACCTATATTTGGTGGAGACTGTCTCCAATGTTTAAGTATAATGTTTTGCTGTTAAAAATACCAATATGGATTAATTCAAAGTTTTTCCAAACAAGTTTAAAAAAAAAAACACACAGAAATAAAGTTAGAGTAGAGAAGTTGCCAAACACTTTTGCATCTTACTAGCTCTCCATTACTAGGGAAAAAAAATGCAAAGCATACAAATGAATAAAATGTATGAAACAATTTCATACCATCAGTGGAATTCTACAACAGGACACACACAAACAACTTCCGGTTTTCCAAGGCAATTCTGCTAATGTGATTTCCTCAACTAGAATTAAATTTACAAAAAATTCCCACTAATTTACAAAAACAAGTGGGAATTCAGTGTACAGATGTTAATCAAGCACACTTCTACACCAACCAGAGAAAATTACTCATCTTGACAGTAAATCAGGGCCAATGGCCAACACATGGTAGAGCACAAACACGAAAGTTACTCTCAGCTACATCTTACATAGTTATCTTAGTTCATCCACAATTGTTTCACATGCTATATCTTCAACTATGGTTATTTTTCCAGGTGACATTCAATCTCACAGACCCGACAACTTCACACAGAGCAGCCTGTGTTAGAAATAATATCAGCTAAGAACAAGTGGATGAGGAAAAACATTTGTCAGCTCTTTTTGAATGTCGTGTACAGATTAGCAATTCCAGTAGTCCTACCCCCAATTCTCTATTTTCCCTCCTAAGCAGGAGGGACTAAAGCCAGTATAGGAGTATTTCTGTCCTTCCCATCACTATAAAGGTAGCATTTACACCATTCCATCACAGCTTATTCCATAAAGTCACATTAAAAGGTATCTTTTTCAGCCTTATTCAAACACAAAACTCAATACTTCACTTATTAGATTTGCAGCTTTTCCTCCACCAACCCAATCAAAATCCTCGGGAAGTTTATACCCCATATGAAAGCAGCATACAGAATAGCAACGTATTGTTCATCTTAGTTCTATTTAACATATAATATCAAAAGTGTAATATACGGAACAGAAAGCAATTTGTCTCTCCAAAGACTATTTGTATAACAGGTAACTCACTGTTCTAGGGATGGGTGGAGACAAAGATCCATTAGACATGTAGGGATCATTGTTCATATTTGGCATCATGATATACCCAGAATAACCAGAGTATGATAGGCCTTTGCTGTATAAACCACCATCCGGATGTTTTCCTGGGAAAGAAAATAAGAGTTGTTAATTTAGCTTCCACTTAAGTTTTTCTGGTATGTTAGAGGCATTTTACAGTAAGAAATGCACAATATCTTTTTTTTTTTTAAATCTTTGGAGAGGTGGAGGGGGGCAAACTGCTAGGGACTTCCATTTTATTTTTATTGCTTTCTGACAGCAGTTACTCACTTAAATGGTTTATTAAACAGGCATTTGTTAGGAACTGCACTTAAGATATGGGAAGACTTCAGTATAGCCAGTCTATTTTATGAGTCTATTCAAACACAAACAGAGATTGTACTAGGATGATTTGCATAAGAGCCTGGAAGAATAGACACACATGTAATGCACTACATTAGATTCTAAAGCTACTTGGTGGTCTTTGGTTTTTGCTCATAATTTTTAGACACCATAAGAGAAACACCATTTCTAGGCTGTGTTGGTGCATTTCCATTGCATGAACAACAAGCAATGCTACAGACATCAAATAACAGCAATGGAGATCAAATGTATAAAGCAGTAATTCTTTCATTTTAGGTAGCATATGGACTTCTCCCATCAGTTACACAGCTGGTTGCAGGAAAGTGCAGTAGTATGGTTAGACAGAGACACTTCCTTCACTAGCCGACATACTGCAAGTATGAACAATTCTTTCTGGTCATGCTAACTGAAAGCTATTAAGGAGAATAGGAATACAGGCTGGTGTGCAAGGATACCCTACTGCTTATTGGGGCCTATTTAAAACAAAGGGGGTTCCACTTCCAATTTGTGGAATATCTAATTTAAATAATAAAAGGCTATCAACAAGGACCAGGACTGACAAAAAGCTGAAGCCCCAAACTCTCATTTTAATTCTAATGGAGATCCTCCTTCTTATGAGCTATACCCCACTATAATAATATACTGAAGACAATCCTACATTACTGTCCAGCTTTCTAAACTAAATATGTACACTGTCAGTTTCACTCATCTTCCTTAATGAAGTATTAGAGTTCACTGATTTGCACATCAAAACATTAAAATGTTGTTCCTGATTTTTTAAGTGACAGACTTGGGTTGGAAAGTGAGCACACAACTTCTTAATATACATAACTCAGTAAGATTGTCAGAATGAGGGAAGAGAAAAGATTTATATATGAACTACTTATATTCTAAAAATAGTTATTTTTTCAGCAAAAAGATCTGTTTGGCCTACTTACTTCAACTGGCAAACAACTGAAATACCATTTAGTTACTGAAGTTAGATGAATACTCACCAAATCTCATTTTTGCTCAACTTCGAAAATGTTTGGATTTTTTCCATAAATACAGGTCACATTTTATATACAAGTTCAACTGATTAATATTGCCTTTTAGTAAGCAAAGTTACATCTGTGTACACATTGAGAGGGACATAGGAAGTAACAATGTAGAGTAAAGAATAAGCACATCTCACCTTCTTCAGAATGTTCTCTGCCTTTGTCATGATAGGATTCCTGAGCTTGGCCTTGCCTGGAAACCTAACCACACAGAATCCACCATTAAAAAACAAAAAACAAAAAAAAATGGTATTTTTATGCATATCTGTTCACTTTTGCTTAGCACTTGATCTTTCAAACAAAATTATTAAGTGTCTAGGTCAGGAGAAGCAATTGTATATTTGTCCTACCTCATGCTAAAAAGGAAGTGTGCTAAAACATAGAATGGTCATTTTTATTACAAATGTAATAAACATGTGGTTCTACAAAGCAGTTCTAGCACAAGTAGTGCAGTAATTTACTAAAGGGCCTTATTTCTTAAGAATACTTTAAGCTTTAGGAATCAAAATAGTATTCCTAAATTGGTATCAAAGAATAATGAAAATTGAGTGCCCCCACTATATGGGCTTTTAAAAATTCCATCCTTGTTCTTAAGTTGTTTTCATGTTAATAAATTGCTACCAAAACAGTTTGTGCAAATCCTTTAAAGAGTTTACGATTAATGCTCTGACCTTTGATTTTACCAAAGAAATTCCATGGCTACTTTAGGCCTAATACTATTATAGGATCCTGTGACTCATATGAACTTGCTTGTCCTGGGCTATGGAAATGGACATCTGAAGGAGAGAGAAGGTCCTCCTGCATACACACTAAAAAGGTGTTTAGCACTCACTTGAAATATGACAGTGCAACACTGCAGATTCCTTTATTTTTTAAAAGGCTATTTTTACAACATGCAGTTTGGCTTGATCATGAGACAGCCTGGAACTGAGAAAAAGCCAGTTAAGCTTTTGGATAGTCCCCTAGTGGAAGCTGCAATAGAAGCCAAGAACCAGCATGTCAATTCTGACTATAAGTGAAAGGTTGTTTGTTAGTTGGCAGAATTAATCTACAGTCAAAAATAAGACTTCCGGAGTCAAAGCAAGGTAACTTCTAATGCTTTTATTGGCAGCTCATCTCAGTATTGCAACCCCAATATATTAGCTTATTGCAAAACAATTCCCAATCAATATACCAGAGGGGTAGCCATGTTAGTCTGGATCTGTAAAAGCGGCAAAGAGTCCTGTGGCACCTCATAGACTAACAGACATATTGGAGCATAAACTTTCATGGGTGAATACCCAAAGCTTATGCTCCGATACGTCTGCCAATCAATATAGTTACTACAGATCCACCTTCTATTACTCCCTCCCCCCCACAAAAAAACCCACCACGCCCATTCATTAGTTACTAGAAGTAGCACTATATAAACTCCAGCAGTTCAGTCCATTAGTTGCTCATTCTAGTTTCCTAAAATCATCACCAACTGAAATGCAGGGATTAGGTAAAAAAAAAAAAAGTTAATAAAATGGTTGAGATGTGATCAAACTTGAATAGGAGTCTTCACAAATCTTGTTGAGCAATCTCAGATTGTTACTCAAATCCACCACTTAAACCTAAACACCAGAAATTCATGTTGTGAATGCATCAGATCTCGGGCACCAGATGTTAGCCATCTACAAAATCTGACTCCCCAATGCAATGAATTTCCCCAAATCCCTCTGTGTTTGAGGGTAAATCTTGGGATTTTTCTAGGTCTGCCTCTTAAATGTTTTCACAGGCCAATGCATTTTAGTAAGATAGAGGGGTGACCTTCTCCCCGCGAAAATTTCCTATCAGATGCTGAAAGATGATCTGCAACTTCTCCCCCCTCCTTTAAAAAAAAAAAAGAGCCTAGTTAGCTCCCTCCCACAGGCACCCACGTGTCTCTATTTACTCTGCTCTGATAGCTTACTGTACTAACAAGGCGTTCGAGCCGAAGGAGCCCCTAAGCAAAGAACAAGTTTGATAATGCACAGCACATGGCTCCAAAAAGGGGGTTTTATCTCAATTCGGGCTGGAGCACACGAGACAGACCGGGAGAGAGCCGACGCGGCCGTGCTGAATCAATCATCACGGGTCTCCCAACAGTGTGCGCCCAAAGTTGGGGGCAGATCAAAGAACCGCCGGCCCTGAATGAAATAGTACCATTGCCCAGGCTCTGCACACATCTCTCCGGTTTGCAAAGAAGGTCTCGGTGTTCGCTCTTCCACTCCCCGCACCCCTTACACGCACTCCCAAGCGCCTGCCCTCCCATTCACGGGAAACTTGGCGTATTCGCTCACAAAGCGCGTTGGTCAAAACCGCATCTCGCTCGGCGGCTGACGACGTCCTGTTTTCCTTTGCACCCCCGCCGTCCCCTTCCTCTCTCCGGCATTTTTTAAGCCTTCGCTAAAAATAGACGTGCCAGGAGAGGTGCCCACAGTGCTGCTTGCATTTGACTGTACCGCCTTTAATTCATCCAGGTCTATTAACCCGATCCAGGACCCTGGAGGAGTTTGACTGTAGGACCAGAGGGGCCAGGCTGGAATCAAGGTGCTTCAGAGCCCTATAATGAGCAAAACCGCGAAGAGGCGTGTTGGTCTTCCCTGGCCGAAGTCTCTAGAGCTGCCCCCTCCCAAGATCCCTGATCAGTGGGTCTCTGAACACTCCGTTGGCATCACGAACTGCACAGCAGCTGGCTGCCCTGCCCTCGGACCCCCTTACCTCATGCCCATTGCTGTTGGGGGTGATCTCTGACTCGTTAACGAGAGAGGACTTGATGTCGGCCAAATCTCCTTCTTCCTCCGGGTGGCTGATCTCCGCGAAGATTTTCTCCTTCTGGGGATCGCCTTCGTCTTTGAAAGGGATCATTTCATCTGTGGCGCACAGCTCCGGATCCCCCCCACCGCCTCCTCCGGCTCCCGGCAGCTGAGGCATAATTGCTCTTTAATTCCTGCTCCGCCCGGGGAACAATAATAATAAAAAGGAAGAATAATAATATTTATTACGTCTTTACGAGCCGCTTGCCCTCGCTACTCTAAGCCTCCCCTTCTCCATCCCACCCACCCCCCTCTTCCCGAAAGAGGCCAGGCGGGCACAGCCACGGGGGGAAAGGAGGGTCTGTCTGTCTGACTTGTCGGTCTGTCTGCTGATGGGGGGGGGGGGTTACATACACTTCCCCCCTCCCCCGGTTTCCATTGTGTCTGCAAGAGGACAGAAGAGTTTGGAGAAGTTGGGGCCCTTCTGGATCTGCTTTTATCTTCTCCGGGGCTTCTTTAAAAGGAGAGGCCCCCCCGGTTCCCATTCCCCCGCAAGCTACAGGGGGAGAGAAGATCCCGCGAGCTCCAGCTCGTGCAGCAGCCGGAGGGGCGAGCCCGCTGCCTGGCAGAGCAGGAGCGTTCCCTGCAGCCCTGGCCCGCTGCCTCTCCGGTTCCAGCGCAGCCCCGGCGCTCAGGCTCTCCTTTCTTTGGGGGAGGGGGGCTACAAAGTTCGCCTCTAAAGTTAAGGGGGGTCCCCGCCGGCCAGGCGGGGAGGCGGGGAAGACGAAGGAGGCCCGGAACGCGCTTCCACCGCCGGCTCGCAATAACCGCCCCACGCGCAAAGCCAAACCCACCAAGACTCTTTGCTTTTGTCCTCTCCCGCCCGAGCTCTCCCCGGAGCGCCGCTCTCGCCTCTGCGCCGCGCCCGGCTCGCCCGGGCGGCGTGAGAGCCACGAGGAAAAGCAAAACCCCGGGCGCGGGTGTTGAAATCACGGCGCGCGCGGGCGGCGCGAGCCAGGAAGAGTTCTCTCTCTCTCTCTCTCTCTCTCTCTCTCGAGGCGTCCCAGCGGCCCGAGGCGCCTCCGCATTCACAACCCCTAAAGGGGGCCAGCCCAGCCGCCGAGAGCCGCCCGCTGCAGGCCGGGGATGGAGCACCCCATGGAGGAGAGACACCCGGCAGCGGCGGCCCCTTTTGCCTCCCCAGGTGCCGCTGCTCCCTGGCTTTAGGGGCGCCACCAGCAATCCACGCGCGCGCGGTCCCAGGGCACCGTCTCCCGCCTCTCCTGGGCTGGCCGACGGGAAGGTGGCGAGGCGCGGCTGGAAGCCTGTAGGACGAGTTCCCGGGGCCCGTGCGCGTCTCTCTCTCCCGGGGCAGGGGCCGGCAGAAAGTGGAGAGGGACGGACCGAGCGCGCCCGCCAGAGCGAAGTGGGAGCCAGTCTCTGTAATGTAACTTTAACATCCCCTCCACCCACTCCGCCCCCCGCCCCCGCCTTCCCTCCGTGGACAGGGCGGGGGCGGGGGCGGGGGGGAGATGAAAGAGAAGCCGCCGCTCTGATTGACAGCACATTGATAGACACTCTGGAGAGGGAAGGGAAATGGATCCGCGCCGCAGCCCGGCTTAGCTAGCTTGAGTGCGAGCCGCCAAGCAGCGGAGAGAGCTGCTGCAGCCTTCTTGTTAAATACAAAGAAGTCGCCTCGGTTGTCACAAGCCAGTAACGAGGAATCGGTAAAGCGATCGATTCGTTCAGTTCCAGGGCAGAAAGGGGGGGAGAGGATAGAAAGTGAAGCGATTTGGGGGGAGGGGACAGGGACACTTTTAAAAAAAAAAATCTGTCTTCTTTTTTTTTTTTTTTTTGAAAGTGCAGAACTACTGCATGGTACAAACCTTCAGTAGTCTGCATTTAGTCAGTGATGATTTTGCAAGTTCTCAGCATCTTGCGGTAACACTGATTATTTCTATAATGCAGAGCCGCCAAGGGCGGGGGGAGGCTGTGAAGGGAATTACTACTCTAGGGGGTGGAGGTTTATAATTCACCCAAAACGGAACACACACACCCCGAAGAGGGCAAAGAATAGCTATCTAAACATCCCCAGACAAATCTGTAACAAGGATGTGTTTAGGATGCTTTGTTAAGACTTCCCCTTTTCCGAGACAAGGGGGGATGCACACGCATTAGATTGTTCGCAGGGGGAAAGGGACCTAAATATTTTTTTAAAAAAATGTTTGGAGTAATTTCAGCTGAAGGGCAGAGTTATTAGATCGTCATTAAACATAGCAATCCAGCAACTGACGGAGAGAAGTACCTGGCTAGTAGTCTTTGAACAGACAATGAGATAAACAGGTATCAGGGGCTCACGTTTCAAGTCATCAAAATAAACTCTAATAAACACTTTAGGAATAGCAAAAGACAATCAACTCTCCTCCCTATCCCATTCATTTAGAATTTTTATTGTTAGCCCTATGTATTAAACAGCATCCAGGGTATCTGTATAAAACACCCAGCGTTCAGGGCATTTGGAAATGTCATTAATATGCATTTACTCTGATTATCCTATCTATGTGGTGTCGTAAACACATGTTGTGCAGGAACCAGCTGAAATTACTTTGGCATCGGACGACTACAAATCATGTTTTGTATAGCCGTTGTAAAATTGATAAACATACAAGCTCAAGAACACGGTGAAATAGAAATGTAAAGATATTTTCAATCCGTTTTTAACCTATTATAATTTTACGCTTTATAAGAGACCCCTAGACGGCAAAACTGCTTTCGCTGAAATAATCATGAAAGTTAGGATGAAATTCCAAAAGTTAAATATTTTCTTTACATCATTTCCCATGCAAACTGTAATTAAAATCCAGCGGGAATATAAAACTGACAAACCCTGATATGAAAATAGAAAAAGAGAAATGAGGATATGTTTGTCACGTTATTAAACAAGTGCACTAAATGCATTAGAAAGCAAGACATTAAAATACAGACCCCCAAAAGAAGCTAACGTGTACAATGTTCCCTTAATTAAACAAACATTCTATTGAAGATGGTTTGCGTAAAGTAATTAAGAGGCGGTTGTTTGGAAAATGGGGAAGTTAGTGATAATTTGTAAAGTCTGAAAGTTACACCTAATTCAAATCCTATTTTCTCCTTCATGTTAATTGTTCGGACTTCCATACTCATTGCAGACACCTCCCTTTGCTCTCAAAATTATTGCAGGCAAGAAGAATGAGTTTAAGCTACCTAATGGGACCCAATTTAGAGAGAAGGAGGAGGAGAAGATGTTCCATTTGGTGTTTTCTCGCAGGGATCTTCTATTTTGGAAAACTAACGAAGCCCATTAGATGCTCTAGGAATTTTCTTTAACATACACATGTGATTTTTAGTGGCTTGACTGTATTTGTGTATATTGCTGTCCTGCTCTTGTCACGCGTCCAGTTTAAAAGGAACTCCTGGTAGCCGAAAGGGTTCGCTTACAGATCCAGAATAAAATAGTTTTGGCATGAAGAATAAAAAAAAATCTGGAGAAGATGTTTTCAACCTCTTTATTATTTAAAAAACAAATCTTGAACAGACATGTTCTGTGAGAAGACTACACTAATTGTCACGACCATTAGCATATGGATCCCCAATCAACATGCAAACACCCACGTAACTAATCGATTGGAATTGGCATTAAATCGGAAGGAGATGTTGCCATGTTGAAATCCTTTCCAGTCCCCATGAGATGTGTCGATTTTGTTGTTTACTATGCAGAATACTGGAGGATGAAGAGGGGAGAAGTCATGTTATGGGTTTCTTTTTACCAGGGTGTGAGGTTCACGTGGCGGATTTAACAATTAGCGAGAGATTTGTTTGTGTTTTGTCCTCTCTCTCTTTGCTCTCCTTACGTACAAGCACTGAGCAGGCTTTCTCTCTGTGGAGGTCCAAACAAAAGGGGTGGTTGGAAAAGTGGAGTCATGTACACATTTCTGCCGTGTTACAGAGATGCCCTTCTCCTTATAGCCAGAGGGGGTAGGTAAAATCCGAACAGCAGTTCCCTGCCAAATTAGTCTGCACAAAAATAAACTGTGTTTAATTAAAGAGAACGGAGCGGTGTCCCTTGTTAGAGAGCTCCCCGCGCCACCCCCACCAGGTTTTTCCCCTTCATGTGGGCTGGAGTTTCCCCCATAGCAGTTTTTTGGTGGGAACTTTTTAAAAGCGGGGGGGGGGGGAGTGTAATGATTTATGACAAGAGGATAAACTCAGGAAACCTCAACTCCAGCGCCAGACTTGACTGGAGACAACAAAAAGCTGTCGGTACTTTCAATTCATAGGACTGGAGGGAGAAATGGAAGAGGAGGAAAAGGCAATTTAAGTCTATTGCAAACAAAAGCAGGGATGTAGAGTTAAAATAGTGGGGGAAGGGGAAGAGAGAGAGAGAGAGAATGAGAAGAGAGAAAGATTGCAAACACTGAGACAGAACAAATCAGGTGGAAATCGGACACCTCCCCCCCCCCCGCCCGCAATAAACTAGTCAAATAGGCTATATTCCCCTTTACCTCTTCCCTGTCTATACACACACACACACACACACTCCCGCAGCCAGACCTAATATTCTTGCAGATTTGGTCTAAAGAGTTGGTGCAATGCAAGTGAAGGAGCCAGTTCATTGTTTGACAAATCAATCCCCCTGTAACTTGATACATCCTCTGAACTTCGGGGGGAAGGGGGTGAGAAGAGAGAAAGTGAGCTGCGCTTTTAATATTACTTAAACATAAAGGGCTGGATTTTTACCGCCCCAGATAATCAAGCTCAATTCGCCTTGGGGGGTGGGGAGAATAATTATAGGAAACATACTAATGAGTAATGGAGCTGAATAAACACCAGCGGATGGACCAGTGGGATAAATCACTAGAAAGAGAACAAGGGTATTAGCCAAGGTCTGACATCAGGATATGACTATATCGACCCGAGGCTGTAAATCCTCCATCAAAAGCTAACGAGACATTTCCAACAGCCACAAATAATAAAGAGGAGAAACGGCGACCCAATTGCTTGCTAAGAGCGGAGCAAGAGAAAATGGGGGGGGGGGGGAGGGGAAGAGAAAGAATTACAAATGGAAACTAAAAACCTACCCCCCTCCCCAAAATACTGTCAAGTTCGTAAAGTAGAAGGTCCGCCTGGAATAAGTTTGTGAAGAAAGTTAACGCCCAGCAGGGAGTCCGCCACCTTTCCCACCCTGTCTACAAATGTACATTGAAAACACAGCTTTCTAATTGGCTTCCATTCAAAACAGATCATGGCAAATCTCTGGGAAGCAGAGAGAAGGCAGCGAGATATGTGTAGGGGGAGTAGGCGGGATTGCGTGAGAAGAGCCTGCTGCTGAGAGCCTCCCCTTAAATAGGCAGAGGGCGGGGTATGGGGAGCAGAGGGGCGGGGCGGCAGCTCCCTTTGATGTCGCGTCGGCTGCCTCTTTCATCCTCTCCCCCCCATCCCCTTTCTGGCCCCTTTGTGTGACTAAATTTGGCAAGAACATGGAGACGCGCCAGGCTTTCCACGTGTGCTCTGAGCTCCCAGCTGAGCAGGGAAGGGTTCTCTTCCGGGTAAGGAGACAGAAAGAAAGATCAAAGAGTTTGTGGAGTTGGATCTGAAATGTGCATTGAAAATAAAAAATCAAGCCTTGGACGCATTCCAACCCTGAGCAGCCTGAGTGAGACACACACACAGAGGAAGGAGCGTTGAGCACGTGGGGTAAAATAGAAGAAATCAGAGGGGAAGAGTTATTCCCCCCCCCCGATTTTTTATGGAGGTTTTGCAATTATTTTTTTAAGGAAAATCTCACGTGTATACTTACCATTTTGTGCAGCCAAATGGCTTCAACTAGAAGTATTATTTTAACAGAAATGCGTCTTGCTCTTTTCTCCAGATGTGACAATCGGACCGACAGTGCTGATGAGTGAGCTTTGTTATGACTCACTGCAAAATCTGTCATCAGAGGAGTGAAGTACTTTACTAAACAAACAAAGAAAAACAACAATCCTCCCCCCCCCCCTCCAAGTTTAATCCACAATGAGGGAGGGAGGGAGTTTTGGCAGGTCTGCTGTAATGTTTAGAAATATGCTGTGTAGTGACAAAACATACAACAGTGTGTTCTTACCAAGTGAAAATATTTATAGACATATGAGTGAGCTACTGCCGGTATGCTCTGAAAGTCAAAAGCCTAAGGCAGACTTAACTGTTGGAATCGCAATCAGTGCCCCTCCGATAATACTATATAAAAAAATCCAACTCGGCAGACTTAAAATAGGGTCTAATGAACAGATTTTATAAACATTGCTGATACAGAACATACCATTTTTGTATTTGTATAATTATTAACCGTGAGGTGTATTTGCAGTATAGCTACAAAGTTGGAACGAGAGAACCAGCATTGAAACATTAATTGTCACAGCCTGGTGTTTGTTTCTCT